ACATTAATCACAAATTTGCAAAAACACTTGAGTTAGGATTATGAAAAATATTTTAACTACCATGTATTTGTAATCCTATATTTTAGCAAGTCAGTAAGGACTTTGTGCACATCACTACTTGAATTCAGACATTCTGCTTTTAATTCACCTTCTCTCAGGAAAAAGATTACGTAACACTTGACCACATTTTAAACAAGAAGGGAAATTCAGGAGTGGACTGGACAACCATGTATTTATTTATTTATTTATTTATTTAGTAGTGATGGGTCGATGAGGCATCATGTGTGGTTCCAACACAGTACCAAACTGTATCGATACATGTCGATACCGTGTCACTGAGTACTGACACCTGCTGGACCTTAAAAATCACTACAGGCAACCTAGTTGACACTCATCTGACACTGATTTGATACAATAATATAATAAAAAATAAATAAAAATAATATAATTTAAGCCATTGTTTTATATTATATTATATCATAGCTTAATTTACATTTAAAATATCTTTGATATTCTTAGATTACAGATTACAGATTTTCAAAAACTCAGTTTCATATTTATGCTAAAAATACAATATAAATATAAAAAAAATCAAACAACCAATCCTTCAACCCGCTCTGCTGCTAGAAATAAGTCCTCTACTCTTGTTTCTTTCTGCTTTGCGCTGCAGACACCCCCCCACACACACACACACACACACACCCCACCCCTGCGTATCAGTAATGCTGATTTTTGAGTCTACAAGATGTCTGCAGGGATTGACATGTGTGGATATGAGATCAAAAAGGTGAAAACCTTTATTTTGGCTTGAGGTTGCTTCATAATTCTTGATGATGAACCGCAAAAGATCAGAGATTCTTTTGACAGATATGCTTCCTTATAAACACAATCTGGTGCGTCACTGTCAGACTGAAACAGTTGCTACAGTTGCTGTATCGGTCACTTGACCTTTTTAACGATAGGCGCACCGACACGGGGTTTTGTTCTATGAGCTTGATGCATGCGTCGACGCATCGGTGTTGCTCGACCCATCACTATTATTTAGACTGCTGGAGCACAAACTGAGCACATTTCCTCACTCTGCTGTTGTCTTTAGTCCCTCTCCGCTACATGTTTATTGTAATTATTTCTATAAATACATGTTTTTTCTTTGTTTCTTTTCCAGAAGAAGGTGCGCCTGGACCAGTTCTTCTGTGTTT